CTGCTGCTGCTGCAGGAACTTTGGGTGCTGGAGCCTGCGATGAGGTGGACAACTGGCTTCTGGGCAAAGAGCACTCCTGCGAGGCACAGAGAGGTAAAGAGAAGGGTTACTGGGACTATGGGGTGGCACAGCTGAGCAGGACAGGGTACAGAGCAAAGAACAGTCTATCCAACCCCAAAGACCTCATCCCAACGGAAAGAGGCTCAGTGCAGGACAAGCAGGTTTGGAGACAGATCGGAGGGTCAATGGTGACCAGGATTTAAGAAGGGATGCCCCGGGACTCGCTCTGGCAGCCTCTGTCACAGGGATGTTTTGCTTACAGAGGACTGAAAGTTCTCAAACGGCTCCAACACCTTTGGAGGAGAGAAGGGACTTTCATTGCCCTGCGCTGCCAGGCCTCCCACTTGGGCTTTACTCCAAGGATGCAGGCGTGTGACCTGCAGAAGCGAAAGGGCTTGAGCAGAGCACAGGGGACAACGATTTGGGACAACAACCAGCCCTTCCCAGAGATGAGCGAGGAAAAGCTCCTCCGTAGGAGAGGAGGGATAACCTCCTTCCTGCTAACGCTTCCATAGTATTTTTAAAACTTAAGGGAAGGGACTTGTAACAACCACCATCACCAAAAAGAAAGGGTGTTCATCTTGACCGCCTAGGTCTGGAAAAAAAAAGAGGACAGAAATCATCTCCTACTGAGCTTTCTAAGCCCGACAGGCTGGGTGTGTCGTGCTCTGGTGAGGACCAGCCCCTGGGACCACGCCACCCTCGCCACGTCCTGCTCTGCACCACCAGCCTGGCTCTCTACCCATCCCTGGGAGCGGCTCTTCCTCACCAGCATAAATCGTGCCGTTGATCTCCACCGACATGTTAATGCTCCCAATGCCGTTCGGTGACAAATTCAGCGCTGCTGCCGCCGCCGAGTCGGGTTTATCTTCTTTCCAGAAAGAAGAGACGTGGAGTTAGAGAGTAACTATCCTGTTCCCTGCGCTGCCCAGAGATGATCAAAGGTGCACACAGCCCTTTTGCCCCCTCTTTGGGCAGGAAATCCCCACAAGACATCCAATTCCAGTCCTGTTAGAAGTCTACAAAGGTGCTTCAGGGTGAATTGAGGATAGGCAGGGAGCCTGTTGTGAATCTCCATCCAGGTCAAATTAACCCAAAATAACCCAACCCCTCCAAAGAAAAAGCTGCCAGCGCACAAGACGAGGCTGTACTGAACTCAGCTGGGTTGTGGCTGTGTTTGCAGCAGAGGGTTGGTGGTTTCTCAGGGAGCTGGTGCGATTCCCTGCGAGGGCTCAGACCCCAGCAGCTGCTGGAGGGAGGGGACACAGCACCAAGGACTCCACCCCAGGAACACAACGCTCAGCTGCCCTTACTACGTGTTTTTTTTAATACGTCCTCAGCCTGGAGGGTCCTTTCTGAGCCGTGATGGGCAGCTCTGGAAGCATCAATGCTGAGCAGGGGTTCAGTTTGCACTGATGTTTACAGGGAGCTGAATGTCAAACTCTCCCGGATGCTTCCGAGCCTAAAACCTATGAAAAGCCGTAATGGTGAGCCTGATCATAGAATCATGGAATGGTCTGGGTTGGAAGGGACCTCAACGATCATCTAGTTCCAACCCCCCTGCCATGGGCAGGGACACCTGCCACTACACCAGGTTGCCCAAAGCCTCATCCAGCCTGGCCTTGAACACTTCCAGGGATGGGGCAGCCACAGCTTCTCTGGGCAACCTGTGCCAGTGCCTCACCACCCTCAGAGTGAAAAATTGAAAAATTTCTTCCTTATATCTAATCTAAATCTACCCAGAGCCTGGGGTTGCAGGATTGCTTCTCTGCGCTCACGAACGCACGCTTACGGTTTGCACGGCCGTACCGTGGTTACCAGCCCACCCCACGTTGGTTTTGGGGCACTGGGCTATTAAAACAGAGAGAGATTATGCAGACAGTCCGCTCAGGCTCTGACATGGCACGTAAAATGCATGTTTTTAGCTCCTTTTGAGTCTGCTGGGACAGCAACTCCACTGTCCCTGCAAAAAATTCTAAGGACATTGTTAACAATTAACCTAAATGTTGTTATCACGCTATGATAAGCTCACGTGGTGCTTTTCAAAAGCACCTGAAAACACAGGATCAATTTTGTTTTACAATTGGGAAAATTAGGGCACAAAAGACAGGACAGACTTGCCCACAGTCACCTAACAAAGGTGGGAATAGTATCATGGAATCCTTAGGGCTCAGCTCTCAGCCTGTTACTATTCATAGGGACTAAAATTATTCCTTGCCTTTTGATTTAAGCTCAGGGTGGAGAGAGAAAAAAAAATAAGGTGAGATGAGAAGGAATGAACATTACTCAATAAAAGTTGTATTCCCTTTTATTCACTATTTTTGGTTTGGTTTTGTTTTTATGTAAATGTGAAATTTAGGTGGATGCACAGCTGTCACGGACTGGGAAGTGAAGTCCCCAATCCCATTTAACTCCACAGCAAGCTGCTACTGCTTCAAAAAAGGACCTGCTTTGACCCTTTGCCACATATGTCTGGCAAAGCATCTCAAAATAAAGCATTTACCAGTGTTGCCAGCAAAGGCCTCAAGAACAACTCTTCCCTTTCTTCTAAGCCATGCCAAACCTGCCCGGCCTTGTGCCTACATCCAACTGTACAATTAATAGGGAGTCTGAGACCTTTAATTTTAACGGATCAAAAGGTTTGGAGGAAGCAGGTGTTGGGACTGGAAATTTTCTGAGGCTTTGCTGTCCAGTGAAGTGCAGCCCCCCGGACAGGTAAGGGAATCATGGTGCTTAATCGAGCTTTTGAAGCCACTACATAGCAGTATTGATTCCGACAACGTGACCTTTACGGGGTGCCTCCCCTTCACAAAGCATTTCAGGAGCTTTTCCCAGGCCATGAGTGCTGCTTCTATGTGACCTTCTAACCCAGCCTTGCCAGGAGTTCTTTGCCTGGAGGCTGTGCATAGGGTTGGAGCAGATGTTGGTAGAAATCACCTGATTTGCTAAAAGCCCTGGGATGCTCACGGGCCCCCCTGCAGATATACAGGTCTTTGTGGCCTCCTCATCACACCTGAAAGGATTCCTAAAAGCTGGGCGTCTCTCTCCTGCAGTTTGCTACCCATGTGGAAAAAGCTCTTACCTCTACGATCAGTGAAAAGGGTTTCTGAGCAGGAAAGGAGAGAAAAATCATTCCCTGCAGCACAATGCTGGCATGGAGCTCAGATGAGAGCAGGGGAAAGCTGAGCACCTGGCAAATGATAGGCTTCCCCTCCAGAAGTCAGCTTAGGGACTGCAGAATCCCAGAACTGCCTTTGGCTAGGCTGAACCACGCTCTCGGATCTGAAGTATGCACCAGGTATTAAACATGACGGGGTCAGATGCGTGCTCCAAAGCAATTTCAGGCACCCCATGTGCTTCCCAAGAAGGAAGGAGCGTACTTAGAGCACACAACAGAGCACTGCTGCAAGGACAACCGAGTTAGCATCAGCTGAAACCGGTGATTCCCCATAGTGCAAGTCCTGTGGCGATGCCACAGCTTGAGTCCTGAAGCAATCTCACTGTGATCAACACAGGAGGTCATCTGCTCAGTGTCAGGGTCTTCTTGTCTGGGTCAAGTGGGTTAAGTGGGTTTTATGAGCTCAGATGCAGAGCTTTCTGAACACGGCGAGGGGTGTTTCTGAACTCAGGCTGGCTTATGCATCAGCAAGAACAGAACTAACCCAGCAGCGGTAAGTAAAACCTAACAGAATATCACTATGGTTCAAGCTTTGTGGTCATCGTGCTCCGTTGTAACAGCTTCTCAACAGTGACCTCTGCCTGATACCCAGGGGGCTGATCGAGCCTGTGTGCACAGAGGTGTGTGACATCCTAGACTGGGAGCGGTTCCTCCCCTCCTGCAGTCTGTAAAGACCTTTTGTGTATCTAGAGGTGCTGCTTACCCTTGCCATTGATTTTGATCTTCATGGGGATCTGCCGCGCCATGCTGAACAGGTTGCGTTGAAGAGCCTGCTGGACAAGCCGCTGCTCCTCCTCCGTCATCCGCGAGACCTTCTTCTCCGGAGGCTCTCCCCCCCTCAGCTGCTCCAGAGTGGCTGTTCTTGCTGCCACAGTTGCCTGCTGGCTAGCCAAGGTCACTGGCACGGCAATACGATTTGGCATAGACACAGTCAAGGGCACACCGTCACCTAGAAAAGGAAAGAGCCGCTTAGTCCCTCCTCCAGCCCTTCCTAAAGCGAGCACGCAAAGGTTTAAGCCTCAGGCAGAATATTCTGCCAACCCTGAGCCACCCAAGTCCCACTACCCTCCAGTCCAAACCAGTGTGGGTGGACAAAATGGAAAATAATTGTTACGGTGCCTGCACTTCTTAACCCAGCCATTCCCTCTGCTGCTGGTAAAAGCAGCGGACCTTTTCTGACAGCTGCTGCTGGAGACACCCGAGGATTGCTGGTCCCACTGCCTGGCGCGACGCCGATGATGGGGAAGCGGATCTTTGGGGGAGACAGGAGGGAAGGAGGCCCCGTGGTGGTGGGCGAGTAGCTGAACAAAGAGGAGCTGTAGCTGGGCCGCCTGCCTTCCCGCCTGTTGCCGTCGATTGCAGCCTGGAGCTCGGCAGGAGAACTGAGGGATTTCTTCTCGCATTCGTAGGCATACAGGTACTTCATATACCTGGGAGAGAGGCGAGCACAGGGAAACTCAAGTAGGTTTCTCAACAGAACATGAAATTATCGGCCGCAGCACCAAGCATTGCATTCAGGAAGACTTTCAGACTGAGGTCCTCTGCAGATGTGGAGTCTTTGTCTGCGTATCACGACCAGTGCTGCGCTTGGTTTGATAAGCATTGAGTAGTTTGGGTGTAAGCACCGAGTAGTTCGGGTGTAAGGCATAGCTTTCATAAGAAACTTTCAGTTTAATCGGTGTTTCTAGGGAAGCACATGGTTACATACCGCTACACGCACAAGGGCAAGGATAAAAGTAATCCAGAATTTCTTTACAACTGAGATACCATCTAAAATTATAAGAATTAAGATCTTGGACTGTAACACATGCAAGGAAAGAAGAATAAGGAATTACCAGTGTCCAAGTCATTTGTATTGGGCAGCACCAAACTCCTGCTGAATTCCAGCGAACATGTTTGCTGGAGCCAGCCCGTTTGTACCAAAGGCTGTAGAAACAGCAAGGAGCTTCCCTCTCTGGGACTCAGGGGCTGTAATACCTCCCAAGAATTCCAACGCTGTGTGAAAGCTGAGCATGGATTCCCAGAGCCCAGCCTTCTGTGCTCGAGTCACTAAAGCACAGCTTCGCCCTGTTGCTTAGATTTTACAGTAGTTGACCTTCTTACACTTGGGTGAGAAGGATAAATGAAGCAACTTCCCAGCTCCTCCCTGGCCACAGAGTAGAATTCAGTCTTTCAATTCTTCCACCCCAACCCCCACTTCTGCGTTCGCATCCACGCTCTTTACTTACTGGGTTCGAAGCGTGAACGCGGCACTGGTGATGGAGGTGGGCAGATTAAGGCCTTTGGTGATCTCTCGCCAGATCTTCTTGTTGATGATTTCCACCAGCCCGCCCTTCTCAGTCACCAGCTTGTAGAGCATGTAGAGATCCAGGATCTGCTTTGCCATGATGGGGATCCGATTGATGGGAGTTCCTGCAGGGAAACAGCAGGGAAGGAAACACGGAGTCAGAGAGAAAACGAGGCCAAGAAAACTGGGAGGTTGGGGCTATCGATCTTCTTTCTAATAGGAAATTCAGGCAACTCTGTTTGCAGCCTGACTTAAGGCCTCTCTACGGGTGAGTAAATGAGACAGAAATGCAGCAACGCGGCACGTCCTTTCCATGAAAAATCCTTTCCTGTAGGCAAAAAGCAATTATCAGGCCAATAATAACCTGCAGCTAGGAGCAACTACGAAAATAGAAAGAGGGGAAGTAGGGACTATTCAATCCTAGGGGCAAGGAAACAGCGCAGAGGAATTTTTTTTTTTTTTTATGAGCTCCCAGGACAATCTCAGATAAAAAAAATAAATCTGCATTGGTTGTGCTCAGGAAGGGGCTGAGCAGCCAGGCAGCTCGAGCTACTGGTGCGTTGGGACTCGGCTCCCTGGCTCCCCAGGGTTTGCCATCCTGCATTGCTTGGGAACGGCGACGGAAAAGGGCGCGTGCCGCTCGAGAGCATCGTCCTCCCTTCACAAGCACGTTCCTAATATTTTGCTGCAGCTTCTGCTCTCGCAAAGCATTGTCACCCTCCTGCTCCTTTTCCCTGGACGCAGGGAACTGCCCTTTTCGCAGCACCTTAAGGTGATAAAGCACACAGGGTTTGAAAAAGCCAAACTAACGAGATTTAGGCAAGGAGAAGCAAGGGGGGAGGAGGAAGAAGAAAGGCTGATGGAGCAAACCTTTTATTTTGCATAGAAAATACTGTCCTGGATCAAAGAGCCGTCCATCTGAGGTCAGTATCCTGTCTACCACAATGGTCAGCAGCAGCCTTTACCGGAAAGCCTGCGAAGCGCTGTAATGGACAATTATGGGATACCCAACCCACAGGGGAGACTTCTGCCACCGCTCATCAGCCAGCGATTCGGTTAATGCCCCGAAGCAGAGCGGTTTATGGCCCTTATAAATGGGTTTTATTCTGTTTAGTGAAAAGGAGTTCAGCTCTGCAGATGTCCTCATTATATGTGTAAGTGTAATTTTTTTCCCCCCCCTTCTCTTTTCTTTTTGAAGTCTGTTATGCATTAGCTCATGGCACCAATTCCCACAGGTTAATGAGATGTTGGACAGAAAAAAGTAAACTTTTTAGCTTTAAAAGAGCTGCCTTCAATTTCACCAAGTTACTAACTCTCAAACTGTAAGAAAACAAAGAGCAACCTGATCAGCCTTGGTCTGCACACTCCATCATTTTGTACTTATCCTATCCTCTTTCCTTTGCCTTGTCGAAACAACCCCTTCCCCATCCACAACAGAAAAGCCCACAAAACAATAATTTCACAAACAACATCAGATCCTCTTCCTGCATTTCAGAGACGACACTTCCCTCAGGGAGCAGAGACAGAGACGTTTCCAAACTGTTTAAACACGCTGCAGCTCCATCCATCCCAGCCAGGAGCTGGTCCCTCCCAAAAGGCCAGCCTGGATAAACGCAATCCTCGGTTTGCTTCAGTTTTCCCTCAGCCACCATTTTGTCTCAGTGCATTATTGCAAAGATTAAGAGCACACTAACAGCGTCGTTCCAGACACACGGAAGGGCTGGGAGCGATCATGTTACCAGCCTGAAGTTATCATTCATCAGCTGAGCCCCAGTAACCAGACTCACACCCAGCCCACTCCAAATGAAAAGAAGGGAAATGTTTATCTCAGAGGTCTCTAGGACGAGCCAGGGTGGGTTTTTTCCACCCTAAAACGTCCTTTCATTACCAGTTCAGCACTTCTGCCCCAGCAGCAAGGAAAGTCAGAGTGTCCTAAGCAGCACTGCATTGCCAGCAAAGCCTTTGCTCCACTGGGGCAGGATCAAGACCTTCTTCCCCCCCCCCAAATCCTCCAGCAACCCTGCGCTGCTCACAGCCACCCGCTTTTCCCCAATCCAATTTAGGGAATAGCATTAACTTGTCCAGAAGGGACTTTCATCCAGCTCTCCTTGGGCAGTGACCAGATGGAGAGTGAAAGGGAAGGGTCATGGGTAAGGCTCCTCGGGCAAAAAAGCCGCTGATATAGAAGCGTAAGGAAACATCTACTTTTTTAATATACTGCGCAGTTTTACTCTTCTCTAGACTCTCCCATCTCAGCATCTGAAAAAGTACACAAGCAAGTTTATCCAAATGCTCCTGTGAAAGTCAATCATCTACATCAGTGGGAAATAAAGGCTTAAATATATTTCCAGAGACCCAGCTCCTGGCTGGAGTAAGAACAGCATTCAGATCTGACCTCCCCGCCTCACGTTACTACCCCTTTGACACCTTCCCTTCCTGAAGTTTGCTTTTAAACGAGACCCACAGACCCAAGTGCCCTGAAATTTAATTAGTAGCTTTATAAACTAAGCTTAAACCTATAGCTTTGCCCCACACCCCCAGACAATTTCTTTATGCGGGCTGAGAAACTTGACAGCAGGGACAAAACTACTTCCATCCCTCTACCACTCGAGCACGGAGACTCAGTAATTTTCCTCCCACGCTTCCTCATAGCACCACTCCAAGGAAGAGCCCCCAGAGCTAGCAAAAAAGAGCAATTTGGGGTTTGGATCTGGTAAATGAACTGTACTTCTCAGTACTTTTCAACCAGGGCTCTGCATGTTTCATAGGATCTGAGTGCAGAAGAGCCGAGAAGGACGGAAAGGCTGCTCTGGCAGCCCTCTCCTCCCCCAGCCCCTCTCCGAGGAAAAGCAAAGCGATAAAGTCTTTATTGGAAACCCCCAGCGCTCCAACAGGAAAGGCTGAAAAACGAGTATCATGGGACGGTTGGATGCTGAAGCCGAGCGGATCCTTTCACAGGCGGCTGCGAGGCTTGTCAGGGGCCGTGATGGATTACTGTCATCTGGCAGCATCAGGATTAATGATCCGGAGGTCAGAGGGGAGAATTCCAGAGGGAAAGGTCAGCAGCCAGGGGCACAGCATAAGACTTGTTGCCTTTTGATGGCAAACTCATTTTACTGTACTTTCAAGCCTCTCTATTCTGCCGGCTCTCAGAAGCGCTGTACGTACCGTGCTTGCCAAGAGCCAGGAAGAGGGTGAGGAAGATGACTTGCTCCTCTCTTAGGCTTCTCGGTAAACGACTTCTTTTCCTTTCAGTATAACCCCAGCTATGCAAGTATGAGTCATTCCTGCAAGGAATCAGCCAAAGAAGGGGGGGACAAGGAGTCTGTTTCCACTGGAAAAGGGATGATGCATAGTGCACGAGCACGGGAGATCTCAGAAGACAAAACCCTGCAATCAAAGACCCAAGAGTGGGAGCACAGCCTACAGGAAAGAGGCTGTAAGACTCCAGACAGCCTGCGTCCTCCTTTGCTAAGTAGAAAGGCTATGAAGATGACAAAAAAGGCTCAAGAATGACACTGGAAAGAGAAGGAAGAATCACCCCATAGCCACGGGCTTCTGGTTTTCTGAAGGGAAAGACAGCTGGAACTATAACGCAGATTTCTGCAATCAAGAGTTTCCTGGAGGAAGCCTGACTGTAGCTATAAACATCGCTGTCCTTCCAGGGAAATAAGCAGCCCCCTCTGCCAAGATGTTTCACCCCGCTCAAAAGCCTCTTCTGTTTCAGGCAGACGTAACAGAAGCCTAAAGGGCTTATGCAGATAGGCCTGAATGTCCCCTATGTCCCCTATGCTGGAGAGGCAGAAGGAGCAACTGTTCGATTTCCACCCTTCAAGAGCTCTTTTAAGAAGGGTCTGAGGAAGCTGTAAACCCTGGATAATCTTTGAGTGACTGTTTTTACATCTGTTGGCAATGAACCAGTATCTCGTGGGCACCGGCTGAGCCACTGGCACACACGGGCTCCGTTCCCGCGCCAGCCACTCGCTCAGTGCTGGGGTTCCACCATCCTGCTGGGGGAAAGGGACCTAAGCTTTGGACCATCATCTTCCTCACCCACCCAAGCACGCTACCCAAGGTGGGCTTTCTCCTGCTCTTCATCCTGACTTAGCCAGACTTCAGATTTACACCTAATTCTGCAGATGCAGACTGATGCCAAACAAAGAAAACCACCCTAAGACTGTTCTTCATCGAAGCATAGAAAATAAGTGCCCCTTCATTTTTGCAGGGATTTGCTTGGCTTTGCGAGTCCTCCACGACGGGAATCCGCTGCCAAGGGCCACTCTTGCCTCTCCTCGTGCTGAGCCATTGCCCACTGCAGGGAGTTCCCCACCATCAAGCAGCCTAAGCCATGACTTGTCCTGCATGCAAGAGACAGAGCGGTTAATTATACCCAGCCTGGAGCATTACTTTTTTCAATCACCTCCCTTTTTTTTTTTTTCCCCTATCCAATTTACTTTCAGAACTATCCATTTAAGTAAGGAACAAAGGAGGCGAGAATCCCAAACATTTATTCTGCAGAGCAACATTCAAATTGCAATAAAACATGCTCTGGAGTGTAAAAATAGGCAGGAAGGGGCATTTTTAAGCCACAATCTGTACAGTTAAGGAAAGAGCTGCTCTTTCCAGCTCCTACTCTAAATATGTTAAGAGAAACAGTATCAGACTGCCAAAAGGAAGAGGTTTTCCCCAGGAGACTGGAGAAGTCCATGGTGATTTAAAATAATTTTGAACCAAACCTTGGAAGAGCTCTTCATGTTTCTTTGAAGGGAGCCAGAGTAATACCACCTGGTATGAATTATCTCCCTGCTCTCCCAGGCTAAACAGAGGGAAAAATCAGTTCAACAGCAGATCAGTAGCACAGGATAGGAGCATATCAACTTGAACCCTGCACTGTCTCAGTTCCCAGTTTGCTGGAATTCTTCTCCCAGGATAAACCCTGGCTGGCTTCATGAAAAGCTGCCTGTTCGGCCACGCCAGTTCCTCCTTTGCATGAGTTTTAGTTGTGGATTTGGTTTGAGTCTGTCCCAAGCACTCACTCAATATTAAAACAAAAAGCAAAGGTATACAGAAAGGAAACAACCTCTCCCCTCTTCCTCCCTGCCCGTGCCACAGCTGATCTAATCTC